TCAGATGGACTACAAAGTGTGTCACCTCACTCTTAAGGCATGGGTGAGCTGTGGTGGTGAGAAAACTGCCTCTCAGGTCATCCTACTCGAACACTCTTCTCTGTCTAAAGTACAGTCAGCCGCCCTGCTTTTGTGCATCTGTGGTATCCTGCCCCTTTATATGCAGAGCTGCCTGTGTGACTGTGTCCTGGGAATGAGATTTCTCCATCCCTGTTGTGCTGGACAGCAGGTATGTGCCATGCAAGCACAGTCTAATATCACTGATGAGATACAGAGCTAGCTCTGGCTTCAGCCCTAAAACAAGACAAGGCGGCAGACCTTTTGGCAACTCTCACCCATCTAAGGTGGTTGTGCTCTGGATTGGGTCCCAGTCAGTCTTAGAATAAGGTACCATGAACGTTTCAACGCTCCGTGTGTTCTGTGCAGACTGAAGCAGGCAGAGTTCTATCAAACTTTGTTCTGCCCTGATAACTGGAAAGCTGAGCAGAACATGTGCTGTCAGCATGGACCTTTCGGAAGTGGAGTGGAAACCTGTGTGTGGGGAGGAGAAAGAGAAGAATTGACAAGAAGGAAATACAGTGAAAATAAGGAGGGACTATAAATGGGAGAAAAGCAGGAGAGGGAGGTGGGAACTTTCTTGCGTTGCTGCTATATTTGTGGGATCGTGGCTTTGCTCTGAGAATAGCAAGTAACATGAAAGTTCTTCAGACAGGTTTTCTTCAAACTCTACTTTCCAAGTTGCCGAGCCCTTAACTTCTTGCCTCCAGGTACAATCACACTGGGACACAATTCTTTGAGATTAAGAAGAGCAGACCTCTGACTGGGTAAGTGCTGGCAGCCCCTACAGCATTTAATCCTTGCTTTAAGATGTTGGGGCCTTGCTATACCCACTGCTTTTTCTTCCACCCCACAGCCACAGTCTAGGTGGCACTCAGGGCTTTCAGTACTGCAGCTCCATCCTACTTTAGGTGACTTTATTGTCTGTTGCCTGAGGCACGGCTGAGCAGAGCTGTGTCTGGCCTTTCTCAAGGACAAGAGTAGGTTTTTTTGTCATGAATCAGTAAATCCAGTAAAATAACGTAAATGTATTTCAAAGATGTGCAGATTCTGCCTGCTTCTAATTGGAATATAACTATATGAACTTCTGATGGATTCTGAAATTAGGTCCTGCCCTAAACAAGCTTCGTAAAAGCCAAGTATCTTTACAGGTCTAACTTCATAGGTCCTGTGAGTGCCTTTGCAGAATCTAGGCTCACTAAGCTTTTGGTGTCTCATACTTTGAAGGAGAAGGGGAATTCTCCTGACTGCAGATTTTCGGAAGAGCTATGCCCTGTAAGTTCCTGGAGATAAGCACCTGATGTTCATTGACTCTCTTGGCCAGCATATTGAGAGTCTCCCAAGACTGGCTTCTTACTATTGGTCTAGTCCATAGACTTATGTGACCCCAAATGTCTTGTGTTGTAATCAGTGCAATGTCTCCTCATAGTATTCGTTGAACGGAGAGTAGGGTTGATGCCAGAGAAGAGGGCTTCACTATCCTTGAACCTTGTGAGGCAAACGTTGCTGGCTCTCGGTCCTTTGAAGCTTCTGCTTGTGGTCACATTGGTGTCCACCCAGAACTCACTGAGCCAAGTGCTGTGGTCTCCCTGAGAACAGCGGTTGGCCTAGTAGGCAGCTTTGGTGTAACTCACTGAAGGGAGTTCCTTGTAAGCAGCGACAGCATATGGTAGAGACCTGGTTTGGATTTAATATCTTCCTAAAGAAGATATTTTCTTCTGTTCCCTGTCCTCAGTGGGCCACCTTCTCTCCTGGAAACCTACCTTGCACATATAGTGCAGAAGGGCTGAACTGGCCGTACTTACATAGCACAAGCCCTCTAACTGTCCTCGTCTTCCCTTTGTCCCACTCTGCAGGCTGATGGACCTGGCCAAAGAAATGACCAAAGAGGCCCTGCCAATAAAATGCCTGGAAGCTGTGATCCTGGGAATGTATCCTTTCCTCTTGGAACTGTGCATGTCTGCCCATCCTTGTGTTTTCTCCTCTGCGTTCTTATGATGCTTTGAGGCTGCTGATAATATTGTCACCAAGCCCCACATCTCTCTGTTTTCCCTCCCCAATTCTCCCAAAAAAACCCCACCAATAAAATCCAAATCCAAGCAATTCTCTGAAATACCAGAACTAGTTCTTCAGAGTTGCTCCTCCTTCCCCAAGAAGGGTGGTGCTGCTCTGGACAACTCTACAAGTGAGTAAAAGATAAAGGAAGGATCTAAGGAACATCTAGCTAAAATATTAGCTAGAGTTAGGTCAGGAAGTAAGAGGGGCAAAAATATTAGCTAGAGTTAGGTCAGGAAGTCCTTTGTGGATAACATTGTTCCCTTACTGCAATGCTGCCTGCATGTGTTCTACATTAAAATAAGTTAGGGATCCTCCCCAACTTCTAATTATGGTGTATGTCACTTTACTATTATGTCTAACACTGCCTGCCAGCTTAGGCAATACCTTTATTAATTCTAGACATGTGTCATCTTTAAGTACACATCTTTCCTAGCTATCTTCCAGGCTTAGTCTACGTCACTCGGGCTATAGATTCTTGATGCACATTGGCAAAGCCACCTGGAGGGGCAGAGATGGCAAGTGAATGGTTCAGAAGTGTAGTCTGATGAGTATTTTGTTCTGAAGGTTCCTCGGTTTGTGTGTGAAATATTAGCTAGTAAAACAGATTAAAACAAACTAAGGAATAATGCTACAGCATTACAGTTTGGGAGCTATGGAATACAGTACGCTTGAGGTGTTAGCATTGCAACTTCTGCATCACAAAACTGCCTCAAAATTAACTCCCCTTTGTTAACTGTCTTGTTGAAGAGGCCAAGTCTGGTTTCCCCATGACCCAGATGAAAGTAGGGCAGCTTGCAATGAGCCGGACTCTTGATCTGGAGAACAAATCCTGCTTATGTGATGCCTGAATCAGTGGTGTGTCTGCTGAGGAGGCTGGGAGGGTTTGGAGCAGGAAGGAAGTATCTTGTCAAGAAAATGGTATCACTGGTTGTTTTCTGAATAATGGCTGCTGTCAGTTACCTCACCAACAACATGACCACGCTGGACCGTTTCCCCATCAGCTTCAAAACCCACTTCTCAGGGAACTACTTCCGACACATTGTGCTGGGGGTGAACTTTGGAGGCCGCTATGGGGCACTGGGCATCAGCCGACGCGAGGAGCTCATGTACAAAGCACCCGTCTTCCGCACACTGAGCGAACTCATCTTTGACTTCGAGGAGGCATATCGCCGCTGCTGGCACACTCTCAAAAAGGTGAAGCTGGGCCACTGTGTGTCCCATGACCCACACAGCGTGGAGCAGATTGAGTGGAAGCATTCCATCCTGGATCTAGACAAGCTAACCCGGGAAGACTTCCGCAAAGAGCTTGAGAGACATGCCCGTGATATGAGGCTGAAGGTAAGCAGCAAGGATGGAGTAGTTCACTGCTGCATCTGCTGTCTTGCCTGGCTGATGGTGTGCTGGGGGAATGAAGTGGCAGGAGGCTCTCCTAGATGGTGGTGGAGTAGAGGGTGAATTGGAGGCTGGGGGCTCTTTTCCTTTGTATACAGGCTGATCCCCTAACGGATGCTCGTGCAGTACTGCAGTTGCAATTAGCTTGGACTACATACAGTCCTTGGTGCCATAGCTGTCACTGTAGCTTGCTTTTTCTGGCTTTTGCATTTTTTATGCACTTGCCTTGCCTTTTTGTCTTTTATTCCCATATAATTAATCGTTGTTAGGCTTTGTGTTTGCTGGTTACTACTTGTATTGGTTTTCTGCTCATGTTGCTCTTACTTTAATTTTTCTGGCAGATTGGCAAAGGAACTGGGCCACCATCTCCCACCAAGGACAGAAAGAAAGATGTCTCCTCCCCACAAAGAGGTCAGGCCAGCCCCCATCGGCGCAAAAACAGCCGCGGGGACCGACGGTGAGTGGGGCTACTGGGCAGGAGACCTATCTAGAGCATCTCTGTTTTACTCACAGCCTCCACCTTGCTGTCTGGTTTTGGATCCTTCTGATGTCTTACTGGGGTTCTTTATAACAGGGGATGCTTCTCTGACCTGCAGTAGCATTCTTCCCTAGTCTGTGCTTTTGTGAGTTTATCATTGCTTGGGGAGTGGGGGTACAGCTGGGTTTTTTTTTGTTTTGGCAGGGAGGAGGAAGGCAGCTCAAATAGACAGTGATCTTGGTAGCTGATATTTAACTTTACGCAGGGGTCTGAGCTCTGGTGTCTCACAGACCTGTGCCCCAAAGAGATTCCAAAAATTACACTGTTGTCAGTGAGATTGTTTTCCTAAAACTGATCTGGGGTACCAGAGTGGACTTCCTACTCTTCCTAACCTGCATTCTCTTCTGTGGAGATAGTTGGGAGAGTTCACTGGACGTTGCAAAATAATCCTGCCCTCAATAGTGTAGGATAAGTCTGAAGCTTTCCTGTACCTGTTCCTGTGCTGCCATCTCAATGTGCAGCACTTCCTGACTGAAAAAACAGTTTCTGAATAGTTCTTACCCTCTTGCTTACAGGCCATCTGGTGAGAAGAAGCCTGCTGATTCCAAAGCCATGCCAGACCTCAATGGGTACCAGATCCGGGTGTGAAGAGAGCTGTGCCTTGTGTGCCTGGCTCCACAGACTTCTTGCCTGGCCACAGTTGGGACCTGGATCCACCTGCAGTGATTCTGACAAAGGGGACAGGGGAGTGGGAGCGGAACAAAGTGCTGATCTTCCCAGGTACTTCCTAGTGGGCCAGTCCCAGAGCTGGATCCCATGGGTCCCAGAGGATTCACCTGCCTGTTTCTGGGAGAGGTGTCCATCTTAATTCACTGAAACAAGTATTTTTAAAAAAAAAAATAAAAAAGATCTGTACATTGCTGGGAGTTTGCTGCAGGAAGAATATGAAGTGAGTGGGGTCAGCAGACTTGCTGTCAATTTTTTTGTGAAAAAGATCTGTACATTGGTGGGAGTTTGCTGCAGGAAGAATATGAAGTGAGTGGGGTCAGCAGACTTGCTGTCAATTTTTTTGTGTTGACAGCAAGTAGATGAAGCATCTTGTCTACAGTACTTCTTCCCTGTCTGCACAGAAGTCTTCAACCCATGCCAGGCCTGCAGGGCCGAGGGAGAAGTGATGCTGGAATAGGATGGCCCCCACATCTTCTGCAAAAACTCCTGGTTTTGTCATTATGAACACTTTGTTTAGCGTTGTTCTTGTGAGAGACAGGGCTGAATTTGCTCAGCCTGATTTATTGATCATACAAGGGCCTCTCATCCGGAGAAACCACATCTTGTGTGTTTAGTCCTGCCTATTTCAAAGCATTTCATTGTCTCTGAGGGGGGTAGACAGTGGGATGATGATGATCTTTACCCACTGCAATGCTGGTGAGCTGTTGCTGTCTTTTTGTGCTTGAGTGGGTCAGGATATGCCTATGCCATTGCCATATGAAAACAGGCACAGAGACCTCAATCGTCCCCGCAGCGGAGGCAGGGGCAGGCAGGGGCTGGTGCGAAGCCTGAACTTTGAGTCATCTCTTCATCAGCCTTCTCTCTATTAACTTCTAGTGACTGCTACTGTGAAAGCTTGTGGAAGGCACTTCAGTCACTGAGGTACGAGTTTTAAGAGTAAATAGTTAAAGAAGGATTTAATGATGTGAACAGGTTTTACAAGCATTTTTCCTTTCCACAAGGGTCTTGCTCCTTCCTCACTGTAGTGTTAGTGCTAGAGTTATAGACACCTGTTGGTGGGAAGCCCTGCTCAAGGAGATTGCAGCTGCTTTCCTGACAGCTCAGCCTGGAGCCTCCTGAAAGTAGTTCCCCACCCCAGTCCCAGAGCTGTACTTGTGTTCTGGCTCTCTGGATAGCTGCAGTATTTAACAGCACCACTTATGCTAGCCTTCCTCAAAGGGCTGGGCTGGGCCTTTCTGCCCACTTACAGCCTTGACTCTTCCTACACTTTTCAGGGGAGTGTTGTACTACCGATTAAGCAGTGTAATGCTTGTCAGAAATCTGGAGAGTTGTCAGACCTCTCTTTGAGGCCTAAGGCCTAGAAACAGTGGTGTTGCCAGAAGTCAGAACAGCATGGCCTTGAAGTGATCTGGACGCATGGATCTAGGAGATGCAAAAACTGAGCTTGGGAGTGGGAGTATCCTTGAGAGAAACTGAGTCTTGTTTTATCACAGCACTGACAAGGAGCTACACTTTCTGAAATACTAGATATTTAATTTTGTTAGAACTGGGCTTATTCTTTCCTGTGAATGTGTCAGAAACATGATGGAGCTTAGCTCTACCAGTTTTTTTGCTGCAGTATTGCTGTGCCACACCCTCATAAGCAGTGCTATTTTGGTGGCAGAGAATGGGTTCTTATCCCCAAACAAATCAGCTCTTCTGTTGAGTTAAAGCAGTGTTAATCCTTGAAGCACCACCCACAAGCGATTTAACTCAGGCCTTACAGGTTCCTAATTGTACATCCCTAACTGTGATGTAACTTGCAAGGCACTATATCCATACCACTGCAGCCTGTCCTTCCAAGCTGTTTTTGTAGTCTGTACTCTTCCGCTATGCTGTATGACCAGGAGGACAATCCATAGGGAGGTGGCAGAACTTGCTGCTGATCCAAGATAAGGTTAATCCAGAAAAGGATGCCAGTTTCCACAGTGCAGTACAACACCTGTCCCCTCCCCTGCACTCCAGCTACATGCAACAATTTGAAATTAGACCGCAGTAGCAAGCCAAGCACCCATTTGAATGTGTCCTCTGGTCAATTTTGTGTGGCTGTAAATTAACATATTTAGTGTCTGGATGCTAACGATGATGTTAGCTGTAAAGGTACCACAGTTAACTGTAAATAATATGGGTCACTTGGAAGCCACAAACTGCCTTTGCATAATGTTTGCTATGCAGCAGACTGAAAGTTCAGGTGCCACTGTGAATCATACGATAAATACAAGCAGCAGTCAGCAAGGGAGACTGAATGTCAGGTTTTAGTAAAGTGGATGAAATCCAGAAGAAAAATTATAAAAGCCACTTAGATAAAACTAGGATGCATCCTCACCATGACGGTTGGTTGGTTGGTTAGTTAATTCAGAGTAACTGGAAAGCTCTTGAGAATAATTAGTAGCTTCATACAGAGCACATTCAATAGCTGGAGACTTGAGCCTTCTTAGATGGAAAGGAGGGGAAGTGTGTTGGGGGGAGGAAGACTTCAAAACAGATGGGGCAAGTGAGGAGTCAGCTGCAAGCTAATGATGCTTTCTTGAGAGCAGGGCAAAAGGGATGCTCAGCAGTGTTAGATCACCAGGGCAGAATGGCTTAAAAAAAAATGCTTTGTTTGACCTGGTAACTAAGTGCTTTCCTGCAGGATGTAACCGAGGCCAATAGCTTAGAGAACCCAAAGGAAGTGGATGTTTAAGGAATGAATAACAGGTAGAGTTCAAGGTCTCTTAATCCTCAGCTGTAGCCAGACAAGAATATCCTCTTTCAAGGTTTAGCTGCACAATTATGTACGTTAGGAGGCATTTAATTCTTCTTATGTATCTAATGTTGATGACTTCTCAAGATGGACACAGGAGCACACATGAGCTCTCTACTAGGGTTACTATTTCAAGCCTTCTGCTATGTTTCTCTGTGTGGTAGAATTCCTGCCCCTTACTGTTTCTGCATTTCCAGTTTAGCAGATGGTGCAAGAAACTGGAAAATGACCAAACAATTCTCCCTTTCTTGCTCTTGCTCCCATCTTTGTAACAAGATGAATCACTTCAATACAAAGCTTAGCTTCCTTGCTAACAAACAAGTCAGCATCCCCCTGTGACAGAGAGGATTAGTGCAATCCAATTTTATGCCGTAAGAAACCTGAGGGTACAATGAAAGACGAACTTTTGCACTTCCACTTCTTTCCTCCCTCATCCACCTGCTCTGGCTTCTGGTCTGCCTTTAACCATAAGGAAAAAAAGGCTGGAGATAAGTTTTTTCACTTCTGCAGTCTTTACAGCTACAGAGAAGGAATAAAAATAAGGAACTAGACTGTAACTCATACTCCTTAGTGCCTGCAGAACAAAAAAGATGGATCTTGAGGAGCCCTATTAATTATTTAATGTTAACTATTAATATGATCGCTCATGTAGCTCTGGGGTGTAAATTTCACTGTTCAGTAGGTCTCATCTGATGTCTGTTCTGCAGTACAAGTCCTTCTGAACTCTGTGGAAGGGAACTGCATCTATACACTAGGAGTGGATAGACACTGCTTATGTTGTATGTGAAGTCTAGGTGAGCTTTGAAAGACTTGAACAAATGATGACCTACTATTAGCAAAACTATTTTAAATGTAATGCAAACCTTGAAATAAGAGTTCCTCTTAATACTTTTATGTAGACAAGTCCCTTGATACCTGGCCAACTGCAATTTTTTTAATGGATGAATGGATTAGTGAGCAAAACTTTCAGCTACAGTGTCACTCTGATATACAAACTTCATATACTAAAGAGCGGGGTTGGGTGTCCATCAGTCTGACACACTAGCCTTTTTTTTAACTCTGATATGATAAGCTAAATGAGTCTTTAGGAACTTAAGGTACGTTAGCAAATGTTTTAGCTGGGAGTGGAGTGCTTTTTTTCAGTTGACTATTTTACCTGTGTGCCATTGTTTGGGTCAGTACATAGTATGCGTCGATCTACCAGAATGACTCCAGAACTGTGACTGAAACATAGTTTCTGTTCATGCAGTAGCTGTATTGCTGTTACCAGATCTGCTTAACATGAAGAATTTTTTTTTTTTCTTAAGTATTTCGGGTGAAAGCCTTAACCAGGTGCCTGCCCCGTAAGGTAGGCTCACATGTGGTGTTGTATAGACTGAAACATGACTGTCCTTAAAATTGTGGAGTTTAAGAAACCATAATGAACAGAAGAATGCTCCTGTTGCCAAAGGGCAAGACCAGATCTGCCATGAAGAATTTTTTTTTTTTTTTCTTTAGTATTTCGGGTGAAAGCCTTAACCAGGTGCCTGCCCCGTAAGGTAGGCTCACATGTGGTGTTGTATAGACTGAAACATGACTGTCCTTAAAATTGTGGAGTTTAAGAAACCATAATGAACAGAAGAATGCTCCTGTTGCCAAAGGGCAAGAGTCTGGATTAGATGGGCTTGACCTTGCTCCAGTGGCTCTGGCTAATCACTTCAGGGTGATTGCTTTAGCCACTTGCTCCTTCTAAGTGAAGTATTTCAAGTGGTCCTGATGATCAGGCACTAGATATAAGCAGGAGGTGCCCTGTGTCCCATGCATACAGTGTGTGCAAGTCTGGCTGAAATAACACCGCATATTCCAGTGGTCTTGCACTGTTGTCCTGTCAACATTAAGACCTGCATTATGGATTTATAACTTAACCTAAGAAAGCAAGTGCTATTCTGGCTTGGTGTTTGCTCTGCCAGAGCAAGGTGGAGATGGTCCCTCTACAGCCAAGCTGAACTCCTTAGGGAATTTAATATGTCTGTTTTCTGAGCAGGTGTTTACTTGTATCACAACCACTCTCCTTCAGTGGTGCCCTGGCCCTGTCTGCTCAAGAGCAACTCAACTTAGGCCCAGAAGGCTACTGAATCCCCCGTAATCTCTGCAGAGCAGAGCTTCCCTCCAGGTTAGGGTTGAGATGGTGCTAGTGGGACCAGAATGGTCCCCTTCCATGCAAATCAGTATTCTACTCTAGCACTGATAGGGTGCTCCAAAACCATTTACATCTTTGTCACTGGTACAGCTCAGAACTAAGAAATGGAAGGTTTCTTTCTTTAAGAACAATATCATGTATGTCTTTTTGTAATTAATCAGTGTGATTCTGTGTTCTTATGTAGCCAACACAGAACTTGTATTTAGATTTAGTTCTTACTGCACTTCCCATAGCCCTCATGTTGATACTTCTTCCTGCTTCCTTTGACACTTAGACAATAAAATTCCCTCTGTACTGCTCTCGGCTTGTGCGGAGAAAACAAGATGTCTGTACTGTCTTTCTTTCCGATTTAAACTTTCCCATTATCAGTCAGCTGAGAAGTCAAAGGCGCAGCCTTGAGTGATGGTATCAGACAGATTGCGTATAGCTGCCCAGTACTTGCAACACTATGGACATGGAAGAACCCTCATTCTCCTTCAATCACCTGAACAGGTGAGTATGTCTGTACACACAGAGGCAGCTGCCAGAGAGTAAGAAGTACGTATGTGGCTGTGTAGCAAAGGCTAAAACTCACCTTTTCCTCTTGAACTCCCATCAGTCAGGCTAGATGGAAAAAAAAAGTCAGTGGATGCAGCAACAGAAACTTCAGTCTTGAAACAGTACTGTAAGGGTTAACACAAGCCTCTGCTTGCACCGCTCTACTCCATATGATCCAGTCTCCCTCCCTGGCCTGAAAAGCAATTCTGCTTAAGGTCTGTAGTTTAGTGGCCTTCCAGACTAATGACCTCACCAGGACTTCTCAAGACAAATGCCGGGTTAATAAAGGACAGTCAGCTGCAAGATTCAGTGCATTTCCCCAGCAAGGGGGATCCAACTTTATTGAGGCTATCATCTTTCAGGCATAACATACCCTTTCTCTCTAGGGAAATGAGTAGCTGGGACCAGGGCCAGGATGTAGGCAAGACTACAGCGCATAGAGGAAAGGAATAAACATCCCCTAACCTGTTACTCCAAAGGGAATGACACATGCAATAGTCGCTCTTAGCTAAGTTAATTATATGAACAACTTCTGCCCTGAGGGGAAGTAATTGCATAGCACCTAGTAGATGGTATGAAGACACAAAATAAGAAAGCCACTTCATAAGCCTGCATGGCCTGTGCTCAAGCCCAGGAGTTGACAACAGACTTCAGCAGCAGTTGAAGGCTTCTTGCTCCCCTATTAAATACTTAAAGATTAATAATATTAACAAAAAAAGACTAAAATGCTGTGACTTCTATAAACCTCTACCTCAGATGCTTGCTTGAAAATACCCTCTGCCCCACGTCTTTCTTACAGATTTTGCTAAAAATCAGGTAACTCCTAAACGCCCTATAGATGTACAGTTCAGGATGATTGCTAGACAATGGAGTGAGAACGGCAGAACAGTGACTTGGCTACAGCTGAGATTAAATGAAGACTTTCTGCTCCCTCTTAGATTAGGCTTTCCCCCCGCTACTGATAGTTCCTGCAGTTCTAGGTTTTTAAGTCAGTTAGAGATTACACTACTTGGACCTTAGTGAAAAACCTTTATTGGGGAAAGGATATACAACTCAGCAAAGCAGTAATTTAAAAAAATATTAAGAAAAAGAAACCCAGTCAGCTACTACGCTGAGAAGCCCAAGACTGCAAAACTTAAGGCTCTCACATGCCTAAAAGCATACAGAAATCCATTCATGAGAGGGTGAGACTTAAAAGCACCATTCATGCAGAGACTGCAGGATTATGGAAGGCAGAAGCGTATGACATGCTGTGGATAGCAGACCATTACAGACTTAAGTTACTCAGCTGAGCTGGCTTTCCTGGATTTTATTTTTATTTTGGCAAAGAGTGACTGCCATCCTATTTCCAACCTTACTCTGGGGGAGGAAGGGAGGAGAGGAATAGCTTTACAATAACTACTGCATTCATCTACCCCCGGTTCAGGAGCAGCTCCTGAAAGTGGCCAATAACTGAATAAACTTAAGACTGATGTAGAAGGCTTTCCATCCAGAAAGACTAAAAACCTAAGTAACATTGCTAAGGCTTGAAGTCAAGTCTTTTTTGTGTATAAAAGGAAAGATTGGATGGAACAAATGCATCTTTTGTTGTAGTACATGCCAGCGTCTAGTCTAGTCCTTCTCCCATTTGCCACCTCAGCACCTTGAAAGCTGCTGTGTCTGTCTAACCAAAGTTAGGAAAAAATTTTCAGCTCTACTATACAGCATTCCTATTCCCTTAGAGCACAAGAATGTGCAGTCTAGATCTCAAATAAAATAAATAAATTTAAAAATAAAAGGGAAAAGAGCTTCAAGACTAGAATGACATTTTCAGTGGAAGCTGGAGGATAACTTGCCTTGACAAGAGAAGCCAAACTTGTACAGCTGACAAAAGGAAGGAGCTTGAGGCATGCCAGCTGTTAAATCAGTCACCTTGGTTATCATTATAGCAGGTGAGTTCTCTACAGAAACTCAGTATCATACTTTGAAACACGATGCAGTACATTCAATGGCAGCAATCATGCAGCTTGTGCTTCTCAGCGTGACGGGGCTATGGAAAGCACTACAGGCCAGGCAGCTACAGTCTGGTAAGGAGCAGGTCATAGCCAGCAATTCAATTAACTTGCACAACAGGAAGTCTACTGAAAGGAGATGGTATCCCACTAAGGCTTATATGCAGCTCCTTTAGATGAGGATGAACCATGCATGAGATGTATTTGGATGAATCATGGATATGTCTGCAAATTCCTAACAGTACATCCAATAAACCTTCATCAGTGAGGTGGTGGCAATGGGAGGAGAAATTGCACTGTAGCAACACCCTGCTTTGCAGACTGGCAACACCACTCTCAAATATCATTAGGAGCAGGACACATACCTTGATCCGCTCTTAAAAAGAGATTCTCTCTGAGGTGCTGAACTGTTCTTAGAGCCTCTAAGAGACTCCTCAGAGAAGAGGAACTAAAGTCAAGTATATTTCAGAGTTCTGTGCTTCACAAAGCAGGTGGCATACAGGGCACTAATGATAAATCTTAAACTTTTTTTTTGTTTTATATTCCCATCTAAGTGTTGGTTTCAAAGCTTCCACCCCTCCCACTTAACTCTTCAGAGGTGAGGGAACCCACTATCTTACGGCTTGACACTATTTATATGTTGAGTTTATAATAAGACTTAGCCCTAAAGAATTCCACCCGTAGCTTTTAACTGAAGAAATACAGCTGCAGAAAAAAATAAACATCAGTAACTCAGAAAGATAACTGGATGTGGCAGTCATGGGAAAACAGCTGCTGGAGAGACACCTCATAAGGAAGAGGCATGGAGAAAGACGACCTCAAGCAGCAGCCAAGTTTCATTTATTAAGAAAAGGAAAGAAACTAGAGTAGTTATATTGTTTAGCACTCCTCCCATCCCATGTAATTGGGAAAACTGATTATAAAGGGCATCCTCCTGAAGTGATGAACTTAAAACTCTGAGAAAGTGAAGGAAGTCCAACTTCTATCTAAATAGCATAACTAAATACAGCCTAGCAGCTGTTGTCTAGCAAAGATACTTTGTCAAATCTGTGTTTGCCTCTACAGCTGCATGCTCCTGCAGCTTAGGAGACTGATAACAGGGTATGTATACACACTGCCAGTGGTCTCTGGCATCCTTCCCCTAAGTACCAGTCTCCCCGAGCTCTACATCACTACTAAGATGATGTAGATGATCCTACCTCTATGATACCTTCCCTTTCTGCGTATAGCAGATATTCCTGCTGTTCCACTTTCATAACCATTTACAGACCCCTCTGTAATTCATCAGAAAGCTGTGCTAATGACAACTAGTCATGCCTTTAGGTCAGGAAACAGTGTTAAGAGCTACATCCAGAACCTTAGTTCTGCATCCCACCATGAGTTGCTCATTACCACAGCCTCTTATTATATCACTGTGTGCTATTCTTAAAGCAGCACAGAACACATTATTTTCTCCCTATAAGTATATACTAGTTGCTATTTTAGAGGTAGGGACTCTTTCCATCCACCCCACCTCCAAACTTCTCCTATAGTCTCCCACAGCTGGAAGCATCCACAGGTCTCCAGATCCGTTTGATGTTAACTTCAAATTGCTCTGGAACACAGTTTTTTTCTTTCCTGAAACAGGCCAACTCTGTAGGGGTCTATACCAGAGCTTCAGGGACAGTGGCCAAAACAACCACAGCGATCAACTCTTCAACTCTGCCTTTGTTTGTCTGTATGCAGTCATTAGCAATGGTCCTGCATTTCTGCAATAGTTTCACCTATGAATGCCCAAGGAAGCACGTGTAAGCCAGGGCTTTGGGAGCTGCAGGTCCCTCTGGGAGCTTTCTAACCTTCAGAATCAGAGGACTTGCAGGCATTGTTCTGGGGTTTCTCAGCATGTGACTCCATATCCAGTGTTCAACAACTTAACCATTCCAAGTTCACACCATACTATTTCATGTATCAAAAGAGAAAGCATTAGCTTGACCTGTGGAACATTAGGTTTTCCAACAAAATACAGCTGGAACCTTAAAACCTCCCTGAGAGATGCCTTCATGCAAGTTACCCAAAAGAACAGCAGTGTCTTTAAGTAAAATGGAAGAAGCACTTGTGATTTTGAAGCACAGCTCCTACGCCTCAGTTACATCACAGGATTGGCAGGGTGCTTCAGCCAGCGCAGGGGCAATCAGTTCATCTGATGGCATACTGTGCCCACCTTCTGGGTCTCAATAGGTGGGGCAGGAGGGCTGGTTTCACACAAACACACCCCCCCTCATCAATTGACCACCAGACCTAGGCAGCAATTATAACTGAAAGCAGACAGCCAAAGTTGTAAGTGCCAACACTATGTGTCACAATGTTTTTTGTTTTGCTTTTGGTTGGTTGTTTTTAAACCTTTAGTGTCTTCCAAGTTTCCTATTACAATGTTACCAGCTGGTGGGAGTTATCTGCAACAAGGCTGCTTTCTGGCAACCTCTTCTCAAGCCTGGCAGAAAATAAAGCTCTCAGTTCACCGATTTTCCTTTCCTCCCCTCCCTTTACACATACAATCAATTACAAAATCAGAATAAGAGTACTTACAGAAATTAGTGCAACTGTCAGATAAACAGAGCCATAGAAATACACAGCTCTGCATCCCTCCCCACGTACAAACACCAGTGCCACACCAGAACCATTACCTGTGAAACTAAGGGCAAACAAAGCTGCAAACTTATTCACCCCCAGATTGCCATTCACTTATACAGACTCCTACGTGTTATCCCAACTGGGGTAGCAAAAGCCATCCACACATCACCAGGCAAATACCACACCATCTGGCAGGGGCAAGAAGGGAATATGCAGTCCTTACACAATCATATGGGCACAGAACACAATCCCCACACACACCCCTTGTTTCTGTACAGTTTACAGAAGTGAGCTGTAGAAGATCAGCAGTACTTGCTTTCTTTGGGAGGAAGGGAAGGGTTCCTGAATGCAAACCATTTTGCAAGACAAGCCCGATGCCAAATAAACCACCTCTGGGATTTGAGGATGTGCTGGGAGACAACAGCAAGGCCTACTTCTGTCTCTTCAACCCTCCTTACTACTATGTTGTGTAGCTAATTTGTCCTCTCCTCTTTCACATCCCAGCCAGCAAAGCCTTGTTGAGCAAGTCCTCAGAGAGTTCAGCTGCCAGGAGCACAAGGTGCTGCAGTTACTTTGTGGTTTTTTTCTTAGATTAGAAAAAATTTATTTTTCAATAAAGAAAGTAACATTTAAAATATGAAAATCCCCCAATATAACCCAGGAAGAGAGAACAGTATTTCAAGTCTCCTCGTACCTTCCCACAAAAACCTGAGGTGGGACCAGATTTCCCTGCCTCATTTGTGAACAGAAGATTGATAATGTTTCTGCCAATATTGCTCTCATCTCTCACAGAAAAACTGAGCACCAAATGTCAGGCTGAACTGGGGAATCTGCCCTAGGAACAAGTACAGTTCTATTGTTTTTGTACTGGCCAAGCCACTGCTGACAGAAGTACACTGATAGGACACCAAAGCTACACTGGGATCCAACCGATTGACAATCTGGCTCCAAGTTACACAGCCTTCCCCTCCCTCCCAACGCCTGTCAAGAGACAGGAGTCAGTCCTACAGGTTCTACCTACCTAAACACGGCTGGCTCCAGAAGAAGGCAGTAGCATGAACTTCAGTCTGGCGCAGGAGGATGCTACAGGTTGGCTATCTGACCCCTGGCAGGCTGAATGGAATAGGGAGGGCACAGAGAAAGAGTAGGGCAAGTGACAAATACCAGCTCTTCCACCTGATGGCCTCTCACATGCCTTCCATTTTCATCTCTCTTTTGGGACCTCCCAGAGCTATAGCCTCCTGGGGTTATCATGCCTTACAGGATGATTTTTTCCACCTGATATTCACTGGGACAATCATAAATATTTTTCCTACAAGTGCCACACTAGGTACCATTCTGAGACTGCTAGAAAGGAAGGGACCCTTCCCCAAGGCCTCTAGGCTTTTGCTGCAGTTCTAGAGCTCCTGTGGGTGGCTCTGTAGAACCCCTGGCTGCATTCCTGGCAATCCCATTCCCTGGTCCGTTAGTCACAGCAGGCAGCTTCGTGTAGAAACTGTTCAACTACACAAACCCTTCTGCCAGCAAGGCAGCCCTTACACATTATTAAGTAAAAGCCATTTCCAAGCAGTTAGCAGAGCCAACTCTCTCAAAGCCAATACGACAACTAGTCCTGGAAGGACCATACTTCATAAACTATCACTGAGAAATTAAAAGAACCATTGCTTTGGTGTGAAAGAATATTGGTGTATACATCCCCTGCTCCTTGGTAGCAATTAACCAACCAGAAGTAGGCAGCGTTGCCCCTCTCTTTCTCAGCTCCTTGAAGATCTCACACAGGGACAAATGAACATGGGAGTTATGTTGGTTCCCACAGCACTAAAACATCTGCTAAACAAAGCAGTGGAACAAGGATCCCTTTAAGAGATGGTAATGCCTGAATACAACTGGAAGCCCACTGGGAACACAGCTCAGCTTTGCAGAGGTCCACAAAATACCAATGCAAAAAGTGCTCCAACTCTCCCATCCCTGCTTTTTGTGAGGGGAGAAAGGGATTTTTAGGGCATGACAAGGAAAAGAGTCTTCTTGCAAGCAGGTTGTGCAATTCAGAGCCTCAACTGCTGTATTCAGAACAGCTTTTCTTTAGGAAAAGGGAACCAACACTAACGCTCTCTGAGGCTGGAGATCTCCAAGCCAAAGCTAGCCAGCAGGCAGAGATGATCAGATGAACAAAAAGGATTTGGTAAGCCATTTGCCAGCAACAGGACATCTTCAGAGAGAAGGGAAAGGCGGCCAAGCAGCTTCAGGGCTCCATCCTGGTACAGCCTGCGACCTGACAAAGAAAATGTAAAGAAACATCAGCCAGAGACTGATGCTGTAGATTAACTCTAACACTCAGAGGGATGCTTTCCTATTCTTTCCCTGATGAACAAAGACAGCCTGCACAAACACTGCATGCACCTTTGAGCCTAGATGTGAAAGCAGTGAGCAGCCTATAATACTGCTGTTCAATGGCTTCATATACTTGCAGGCACAGGAATCAAGTATATACTAAATTCACCAGGCAGCTGCTTACATGGGAAGTTCCTTTCATGGTACTAAGTCCTAGCAATAGCTTCAGATTCTCCCCTCAGGAGGAATTCATCTCTTCATTCCTAACCTCCTCCCCAAAGTTGATTCTGACATGATCCAAACCAGCTGAGAGACAGTTCCTGGATGCATTTACATGCAGTCTTTCATCAGCATAACTCCTGTTTCAGGTAGCAGAGAGGTGGTGCCGTTGTAAGGTATCCAGTCACCACTTTCTAAGGCCAGTGTGTGGTCTCAGGAAGACCAGAAGTCCAAGCTTTGAACTTAGGACCCAGCACTGCCTGTTATCAGGAGCACAAGTAAGATACTTATACAAAAGAACAGAATCCATTCTGTTCTAGCTTCCTCAAAAGTCTACATGAACCTAAGCTAAGCAGCTTCAGTTTTTCCACAGCAAAGATAAACAGTGTCTTCTCATGATACCTGAGCAAATGTTGCTTCCACTTTGTGCACCATTTCAGTCAAAGTCACACACTGTAGATCCACCCCAGCCTAATGAAATGCACTGCCCAATGCCGAGCTGCATTCTGGCATGCCTCGCAGCCCTCTCCCAAGGTCACAGGGATAAGCCCCGCACTGCCACACTCACCCCCCCTGTTCCCATTCTCCACAGGCTCTGCCGAGTAGAAGATATAATCAACGGTGGCTCCAAGCCCCAAGGGCATCGTTGTGACCTCCGGGCGTCCCCTCTGTGGCAGGAAGTGGCTGTAGACAGAGGTCAAGTTGAGGCCGTGCTGGATAACGCCTGAAGACCTGCACATGAACAGCCACAGTTTACCAAGGAAGGAAAGAGAATGATGCAGTGTTCAGTACTGCAGTCACAGCTGAAGTTGGATGTTACCTTGCTGATGCAACCATCCAAACTATTTCTACTTTGTGAACGCATAAAAGACAGTCTTTCAGAATTATTCACTCCACTTACACCAAAGACAAAGCAAACTATGAACTGCCTTTGTCTCCAATACCCAGTCCTGTCTATGCCCTTCATTCTTGACCTCACCAACACAATGCTGACAGAACAGTGCCCAGCTGCTGGGACAACCCTGGGTGGATCTGGCTCTTCCAGATAGCCCTCCTTACTCTCTTCCACCTTCACATTTATTTCAGTCTTTACTTCAGCCAGATTTTCAGTGCTCAGGAAAACGAGACTGGGCTTGAAGAGCAGGGCCATTGAAGGTGCACTAAATTACCTTGGGATGAATGGCTGGGGATCAGGGTGTTTCACCATGGCAGCAGGCCTGGGCCAGTGTGCAGGGCGGTCTGCAAAGGAGCAAAGAGATTCCAGCCAGACCTACATAGATCCTGGAAGAGGCTGCTCATCCCAAATCTCAGAAGCTTCTCCTGAGACCAAACAAATCTTTTGCCCAAGAAGAGCAGATAGCTTCCAGTCACAGGCACCTTAAAGAAAAATATTCAAAGGAAACCCCAGCTCTAAGACTAGCAGGAACATCCTGAGAGCAGATCAGTGCAAACAACTGAGAAGTCATATTCTGTCCTGCTAAGGACATGTCCTTAAAGCATTTAATATTATCAAAGCTCAGGGTACTTCAACCTTTGCTCTCAAAAGAAAGTTCATTTGCCTTAGCCTACAGCTTACTCAAAGGGTGTCGAGAAAGGCAGAACAGAAATGGCGAGAGCAGAACCAGCCATGCCACAAGGCCCAGAGGTGAGGCACTGTCTACTGGGTACCAGCATCCAGAGACATCTATGTTGTGGCCATTGTGACATTACAGTCTTCAGGTTTGTTCTTCCCCAAGAAAAATCTTGAAGCAGAAAAAAAGAAAAAAAAATTTTTTCACTTTATAAGAAACAGCCTCCAAAAGAGGCTGAATCTCAGTGCATCTCAAGGAACACAGACAGCGTGTATGAGGGTGGTAAGATTGTACTCCTCTGACCCTCTCATGGAATCCATTAGTAATCACACAGCCACAGAAGGCACCCTTCTGCCTTTCCCTTTTCTCACCAGGCATTACCTCCACCTCACTTTTCATCAAAATCGAGCTAGGAGAGTCACAAGCTGAAAAAGCTCCTATTAATACCTGGTTTAGCATCTGTCACACCTTCCAAGAAGACCAGCTGCGGTGGTCGTTCACAGGCAACATCACAAAAATGAAACTGGAGCAGGAAGTCCCGGCTGTACTTACGTCTGCCTGCAGAGAAAAATACTAGTTAAAAGAAGAAAATAACTGCAGCAAAGTCACATCTACACGGAACATCTGCATACTCTTTAGACCTTTAGACCTCTTAGACCTCTTTAGTTTGAGAGAGTTTTTTGTGCCCAAGTGCTCTGATACCATGAGAATGGGAATTACTTAATAATCTAAATGTAGAACAGAACAGATGTGTAAATGCAGAAGAACAGAGCACAGTTATTGCTATCCTTTTATCTAACGCAACAGTCATCATCAGCACCTTGATGAAACAAATTAAGAACGTCCCCTCTGAGACACCACAAGTTCAAGGGACTTTTAAGCAGATCAGTTAGTGTGCAACTCAAGGAAATGTCTGCCAAAAAAGAAAAAAATACTCTGGAGATCAGGTTGAATACAAGTTCTACATTCAAGATTCCAACAAAAGCTATTTAGTGTGGGCTCCTTTTTTTTTATCCTCTCTGAGGACAGTAGAGAAGAGTCATGATTGTAACTGGGCTCTTAGGAATGATTTCCTAATAGTGGTGTGCAAATACTGCTGAAAACCACTCCCACAAACACCTGCAGCTGAAAGCTGTGGCTGCTGAACATTGTTTACAACTGCACAAAAGCATAAGTCTGGGAATATGAAAGAGATATGTAGAGCAATGGTTACTGGTAGGGGAACATTCAGCTCCTGACTAGAGAAAGAAAATGGCAGAAATTGGGCTACAGCAATAGACTCCAGAAAAATTAAATTTAATTCATATACCAAGGAAATGGATAGAAGAAGAGAATCTTTGCCGAGTGCCTCATGCAACACATGCCCAAGCTACTCAGAGAGACAGCAAGGCCCACAAACTGTCCATCCTCAGCAAACTCATGTTCTCAGCGCACACTGGAGCTCACCTAGTTTCTTTGGCTGGCACAGGGTAACATATTGGCAGTTGTCCGTTATACCCAGTGAGCTCGGCCACAGTGGGGCCAGCAGTTTCCGTGAATACAACTGTTGGGAAAAGTCTTCCTGACCAGACACCTGCAAGGAGGCCAGAAGCAGGACAGGAAACATCAGCAACACAGAGCAGAACTTTTGCAAGCTATAGACAACGTACATATATACACTTGCCAAGAGCAAGACAGGAGAATGCCCTCATAGAAAGGCATGAACTAAGCTATTCAGAATATGGTGCAGCTATAACAAACCTTCAGCTGTGGGGGACGGATACAGTTAGCTAAAAGTCACCTGACAAGATACTTTGCAGGCATCTATTATTGAACTGATGATTTAGCTTGAAAGCCAATGATGTATTTCACAGAATCATAGAATCATTTAAGTTGGAATAGACCTTCAAGATCATTGAGTCCAACCTTTAACCTAGCACTGCCAAGACCACCACTAAACCATGTCCCTAAGCACCACATCTACACATCTTTTAAATACCTCCAGGGATGGGGACTCCACCACTTCCCTGGGCAGCCTGTTCCAA